CCCCCCCCCCCCCCCCCCCCCCCTGCGTTTCACGCACGCACCTGTGTTGTACACTACATATCCCTCCTTCAGGAGGTGGTGGATGATGGCCGACCGCAGCCAGCAGATGACCTGCAGCGCAGCGTTGGTGTGCACCCAGGCCCACATAAGCTGGGCTGGACAGTGCACAGCAACCAGCTGATCAAGCCGCATGTGCGTGCACCAGCTTCTCGCTCAGCAGCTGCAGGCGCACCAGATAGTCGTGGGTGCCAAATCGGGCCGGGACGTCGCCTTCAGGAGCCTCCAAAGGCTCCGGCAGGAAGGCACTGACATCAGCGCAGGGCAGGTTCAGGTCGGCGCACGCCTCCAGGTCGCGCTTGGTCCAGGTGCCAACAATGTAGTTGCGCACGCCGCCAAACTTGACCATGGTGTAGACTGCAGGGGGTCGGGAAGTTCAGGAGGCTTCGCATGCATGGGACACCAGTGTGCAAAGCGGCTGCAGCCGAGTGTGTGCAAATGTGTTGCACTGCCTGCAACTCCAGAACAATCAAGTATCCTGCGCAGCCAGCAGACATGTGCAGGGGCCATGGAGGTGGTGCTCTCCCCCCCGGCATCGAAGCAGACGTGCTACAGGGCAGACCCAGCACTTCAGGCAGCCCCACACTCACTTGTGTTCTGCATCAAGACAGTAAATGGGAGAGTGTAGGTCATCAACGTGATGGTCTTGTTGTATTTGCCTTGAGGCGTGGAGCGCAGCTGCAGCAGCTTGTCCAGCTCATGCACCCCCGCATAACTGAGCGCCTTGGTGCGCGGTGGCAGCAGCCAGGGCGCCGCCTCAAACTCGGCCAATGCTGCGTCCTTCTGGGACAGCGATGGATTGGCCTGCAGCCAAGTCCATGCAGGTTACAGGGTAAGCATTCAGAAGCGGGAACGAGGGCATTTGCATACGACCGGTGCACCTGCAGCGTGCAACAGCGTGCAACGAGGGGTATAAACTCACGAATAGCTGATCAGCGAGCAGCTGCTGCCTGCGGCACTGCATGCCCCCACCCGCACACCTGCAGCCTATCGAATGTCTCCTTGGTGGGGAGCTCCATGGGGGTGCCTGGCCAGGGCGTGCCCACGCCTGCAGAGCATGGAGGCACAGGGTGGTGACCAAGAGCTGCCGTGGCCAAACCCACACATGCATGCAGCAATGGCTTGATGTACAAACAGCAACAATGCAGGAGGAGCATGCACGGCTGATCTGCAACACCCACCAGGCCTGGCAAGCTCGCCAACCCAGGGCTCGGTCTCAGCTGCAAAACTGCCAACTGTGCTGGCAATCATTCCACTCAAGCGTGCAGAGCTGATCGCCTGCTGCATGGTGACATTGGGCCTGCAGCCAGGGGAAGGGCAGCAGCGCCATAATGAAGGCGCTCTGGGCTGTAGGCGGTGGCGGTGGCGGCGACAGAGGCGGTGGCGGCGACGGCGGGAGACAGCGCGGTCCATCGTCGCTCTCACTTGCTGAATGACACCAGTCCAACAACGAGCATCAGGGTGACAACTACAAGGAGTGGGGCTGAGCGGTTGTACCCCCCGCCATCCTCCTGTTGTTTTGTCGCGCGAGCCATGTTGTCTTGTCGTCGGAGGGTACCTTTCAACGCTGAACACCCAGCGCGCAATCAAGGCAGGGTTTGGGACCCATCGCTGTCCACTGAGCACAACCCAGCGCAATGTTGGCAAGACGTCGACATAGAAACACAGGGCTTGTTAGGGCCAAAATGCTGTGCTGAGCAACCTTGCCGGGCGGTACCTGTTCAGGGGCAAAGCGCCGCACCGCTGTGCTTGCACGCGGCTTACACATTGTAGCCAAGACCAAGCACATGTGCAGGGTCAGTAGCAGTCAGTCGGTATGCCATACGTTGTCGGCGGCCTCTGCGGAGCCCCAGACGCCTGGTTCGCCCACCGCCACCGATGCCAGCTCCACGCTGGGGTCGGTGCGCCAGCTGCTCCGAGACAGGCTGTAGGAGGTGGTCAGCGACGTGGCCAGCGACACCCTACCAGCAGTGCCTCCATTATGGGGCACCGGCTGCTGATCCTTGCGCTGCTGCTGCTCCGACGCAGCCTCCAGCTCGGTCGCAATCCGGCGCAGGCGGTCGACCATGCTGTGCTGCAAGTGAAACTGCTGGTGCTGCGCAGATGAGTCCGCTGCTTCCTTGCCACCTGTACTGTTGGGTGCCAGGGTGGCACCAGTGGACGTGCCGCCGCCACCTCCCCCAGCCCTGACACCCAGCGTGCCCAGCAGCCGTCGCACCAAGTGAAGCAGCACCGCCGGTTGGCTTTGCCGGAGTGCGGCATACAGCTGTCGGCAGTTGATGCGCCAGAGGTGGCATTCGGTGAGCGCCAGCGCATGCTGCTGCCATGCCGACGCATCGTCGTCAATCGGATCCTCAATCGGGCCAGCGTGCGAACTGCCACCGCTGCTGCTGCTGCTGCTGCTGTCACCATCATCATCTGATGCCTGTTGGGGTGCTACGGCTGCCAGCCGCCTGTCATCCTGGTGCTGGCAGGCTGCAGGGCTGAACAGCGCTGCAATCCCAATGACTGCCGGTCCGCTAAAATTAATTCTGCTGCCGACAGCGTGCCGCCGCACCCGAGTCTCGTCGCCCTTGTGCACCACCCGCATCTCTCCTGCGGGCGGCGGCACATATTATGGCCTTTACCAGAACTAGTAGTACATAGTTGACACAGTGGCTGGCAGGCACACGCGACCAGATCATCCAGGTGTGGATAGCAGCCCACCTTCTTCCAGAATGAAAAAGCAGGGACCTCCCTCCTCCTCCGCAGCCTGCCCCTGCCGCCTTATCGTTGCCGCATCCTGCAGCTGCTGCCCAGAGAAGAGCAGGACAGGCGCCGAGGCGGTCGCCAGTATGTGCGCCGCCGCCCTGCTCTGCTTGGGCCTGAGGTCGGGCGGAAAAAAGTGAAGGTCAGCAAGGGCGGCTTCCTGCCGCTGCTGCACAAGACGTGTGGCGAGCTTGGCAGGGAGATCCTGATAAAATGCACAGCGCGCCTCGTGGTCTGCAAGGAACACACATTGCAGCATGTGAATACTACCCAACGCCGGCAGCCAGCTGCTGCAAGCAATGCCACCCCACTCACTCGCTTCTGGATGCCACCGAAAAGCATAGTAGCCCCGGATCTTGCGCTTGAGCCAATTGGGCAGGCCCAGGTCTACCATGTTCTCCTCAACCTCCTGCAACAATAAAGTGTGGTATCATTCCTCAGCGCCCGCGGAGCCCTACTCCATCTCAGCATCGAGGCGCATTGCATCGTGCTTGCCTGCAGCTTTTCCTTGATCGCCTCGGTCCGCTTGGCGCCTGGCCCTGATACTGCCAGTACGTTGGCCACGCTGTTCAAGAGGTATCCAAAGAACGCAACTGCAAAGACAGGACAGACCATGGTGAGGAACTGACAGCAAGTTTCAGCAAGTGTGTCTCTGGCAGAGACTCATTACATACAAATGTAGACAACAACTAAGGATGTTGATCTGCTCGCAACAAATTGGCAGCCACTCACCTCCTACAACCTCAAAGAGAAGCACCAGGCGAACTTCGCGAAAAGTTACGGCAACCACATCCCCATATCCTGGAGGGTTCAAAAGTGAGGCGAGACAGCTGTGCTTGGCCAAACAGTCCTTTCGGCTGTTCCTAACAAACAACCAACAGTCACTCACCTATAGTCACGAGCGTTGTCAGCGCAAAATAGCACGACACTGTCCAACGATTGGGGTCTGATGCAGCCAGCAAATCGTAATCCTTGTTCTCTGCGGCGCAGCAGGCAGGTGGCACATGCCCGCAGGCAGGTGGCACATGAGCATGCATGCCGGGCATGACCAGAGCAGCTTGTGGGCCAGCAGGCAGCCCCACTCACGGACGAATGCCGCCCACGAATTCTCCAGCCCTGCACATGATTTAAAACAAACCACCACATTTTGACACTCCTAGCGAGCACTTCTGTGGAACTGAACTCGGCTTGTTGCGACACCACAGCGTCAGCATGCAAGCCTGCTCTTGACCGACCTTCGTCCAGCGCCATGTTCCACCACAGGCAGCCCAGCAGATTGACAAGCACGGCGAGCGAGAAGAATGAAGTGAAGAGCAGCACCATCCGGGGTGACAACAGTGAGACGATGGGCTGCAGGGAGAGGTGCAGGAAAGGGCAGTGATGGTGCAGACGGTCAGTCGTGCATGGCAGGGCAAGCACACCCATGGAACGCTGGATTGCACCCACCCGCATCGGCCCCCCTATGCTTCCTGGAGATAGATCGACCAGCAGACGGGCGACCCGCAGCAGGCGCAGCAGGCGTAGGGTATAAACGATTCGCAGGAGGTGGCCCGAATATCCTGTGCACGCTACTGCAACCTGTACGACGAAAGGGATGGTCGCTACGAAATCAACCACAAATGTGCCGTGGCGTATGTAATACCAGGCGCAGGTGCGAGCATCTGCAAGCAGTGATGCAAGCAGTGATGGCTTTGGGAATTCTTGCAGGTCGCATGTTAGATGCAATGCACACGCAATGTCAAAGCAATTGTGGTAATTTGCTAACAAAACAACAAATCTCACCACGCACCACCACCGCGCGCGAGCCCCAGGTAACTACAATCCCAGTGTTGAAGTTGACGACGATGTCTAATATGTACACTGCACTGCCAAACCAGTCGCAGCCGCTCAGCCAGCTGTGTTGTTCCCCAGCAGAGTGGTTGAATCCAACAGAAAGGGCCACGATGAAGGCTGCACAAAGAGCAGCGGCGGGGAACAGGGGGCCGGTCGGTGCGAGGATGGCGGGGTGCGGCCGTGACCACACAGGAGCAGTTGCAAGAGCAGGAGCAGTTGAGTTCACAGGCGATGGACGCCACCCACCTGTGTAGGTCATGTCCACCAGGTTGCTGAATATGGACCTGCACAGGCATGATGGCAGGCGTGTGACCAGCATGCAGGCTCTGATCGCACAGCCGTTGTGGCAGCCCAAGAAGAGCAGGAGGCGAGAGGGCGGTGTGCTCACCAGCATGCCACCCCAAGGCTGAGGGGGCTGGCCACGGGCATGCAGCAGATGGATCGCCGCTTGCAAGTTCTGGCGAGGGAGGAGTAGTGTCGAAACTGACGCCCGTTCACTTTAAGCGTACGTGCAGGCACCGGCTTGAGCTGCAAGTCAGGATAAAATCCCCAGTTTGACCCAGGCCCACAAAAGCTGCAAACAGAGCAGCTGCATTGATAGTTACATGCTCAATCGGGACCTCTCGCCCCGCGTCGGCGGCGACCGCCGCCAGCCGCTCGTCATCCCCCTCGTCCAGCGCCATGGCCGCTTTCGGCACAGTCCTGCTATGGCTGCTTTCGGCACAGTCCTGCTATCCCCCCCCAGCTCATGCGGCCTTCTCGCCCGCCCGGAGAGAATTTGGAGAGGAGCCGCAAAACAGGCGGGCAGCTTTCGGAGAAGGCGAACCGCTTGTGCACAGTTGGCGTTTGGGCGGGTTTGTAGGCATGTCGGTAGTTGTGCCGTTGATGGCGGACGCCAGCTCAGCCGCCCCGCCGCAAGCCACCGCCCCACCCCCCCCTTTGCCTGAGCAAATCAAAACAATTAAAGAATGTCTTACGCTCGATCCAGCGTTTACATTGCGCCTGGAAAGGGGGTCAACAACAGCAGCGTTCTGTAGGCTAGCAGAGACAGGAACATGGCAACAGCAGCGCGCACACACGGCGACAGTCCCAAATGGGAACATGCCACTGAAAAATGTCCCCCATTGGTTCCCAGCAGGAGTCCGGGAGGCTCAGCTGCCATCACCACGCTCAATGGTGGCCGCTCAGGTCCTGGGAGTGCTGCGGCAGCAGGATGTTGGTGAACGAGTTGCCGGGGGTGAGGCTGTGGTGCACGGGGCTGCGTGCCGTCGGGCTGCGGGTGGGGCTGACAGAGGGGCTGTGGGTCAGGCTGGGGCTGGGGCTCAGCGGCACCGGCTGCCCCGCCACGACGAGCAGCGTGCGCAGGCCGTCAGAGGTCACTGCAAAGGATTTGCTGTGCGCGTTGTGTGGCTGCACCCACTTCTTGGGGCTGTCAGACTCCTTGAATGGCTCTACAATCCGGGTGCGGTAGGGGTGGGGATGGGAGGGCAGAGGGCAGCAAGCATCAACTGCCGACATGTGTGTGGCAGCCCCATGCTGAGGAACAACCCTGGCAAAAGAGCAGCCACGCGCCCACGCAGCTCACGGCCTCCTTGATCGCGTGGGGCCGAACATGAGTCGAGCAGGCACTCACCGTACGCACTGCCAAACGACTTGTTCGACTTGCAGGGGCTGACGGGCGGGCTGGCGGGCTGGCTAAAGCGGCGGCTGCTGCCGTTGAGCGACTCAGTGAGCTTGGCGCTGGCACGGGCCGCTGCCGACACCGTCATGGCGCTGACCAGGAAGGACGGGATGAACAGGCCCATAGTGCACCAGCTGATGGCCACCACAGCTGCATCCACAGGCACACAGGGCGCGATAGGCGGTGGCTGCTGCTTGCTTCAGAGCCACCAATTCGCAACCAGGCTTGGTTGAAGTCGAAAGGCCACAACATCCAGACCTGGATACCAGGACGACCAAGGGGCCACCAGAAGCCCCTGCCCCGCCTCACCTGTGCGGTAGCTGGTGAGCGAAGGGTCCAGCTGGTTGCCGGTGTTGGCAGCGGAGGTGGCCGCGGCGCCATAGGCCGCCCACCAGACGAAGCCCAGGAGGGAGAGCAGGGGGCCAGCGAACCCGTACCTGGTCTGCCCATCCGCGGCAGCGCACTGCAACGAGGCGGAAAACAATTCAAAAAGAATGTCTTTCACGGCAAAATGACGAGGCGGCCGCATGCCCGCTCACCTGCATGCCGATGATGATCAGACACAAGCACAAGGTGAATGCCGTCGACACAAACGCGGCGGTGCAAACCGAGGTTGACGTCATGCCCAGCCCACACTGAGCTGTGTAATCGGAGTTGGGAATGGGGAAGGAGCCGTAAAGGTATCTCCCCAGCACAGCGCTGACGGCGCAGGCCAGCGCAATCTGCGGCGGCTCAGGGCGGCGGAGCAGGCCTACTACTCATGTTACAGGGGTGGGTATGGTGCTCAGGGCAGGCAGGGGGTGTCGTGGCACATGTGGCAAGGCGGTGCGGCAAGCCAGGGAGCTGAGGTAGGTTGCAGAGCCCACCTGGCACACGCCAAGCATGGCGCATGCCGCAGCGCCCACAATGGGCTTCATTCTACTCCGCGCGGCGCTACTCCGAGATTAGCACATGCCAACTGACAGGGTGTGGCCAACTACCGCTGCCAGGCGGGAAGTATGAGTGGCAGCGATGGAATATGTAGCAGTGGTCCGTAGAGAGGTTTGGGGCAACACCGCTGGTTTACCGACTTTTGCCAGCCGAGCATCGCACGCAGCACGAGAGCCCTCTTCCTGGCCCAGAAATCCCCAGCGCGATCACAGAGCATCACCTGAATGTCCTTGCGCAGAGTGCCAGCGAGCGGCGGTGCGTTTGCACAGTCCAAGAGGCACAGGAGGTCTCCCTCGCCACTCTTGTTTTACCCACACCAAGGCCTCATCTAATTCAGCAGCGCCCCATACACTGTAGCAGCGTGCCGGGGTCATTCTGCACTTCTGGGAGCACGGCTCTGCAGCAGCCCTGGGTGGCTGCACCAGGGAGCTTCAGCAGCTGCAAAAAAATGCGGCGCACAGTGGGTGCAGGCGAGCCGCGGGCTGCCTGCGGCAGGGTGGTTGTGCGCGAGCTAGCCCCCGCTGGACCCGCCGCACAGCAGGGAGCGCCAGCAGCCCAGGCCTTGGACATGCCGCAGCACCGCTGGGACGACGACGATGACCCAGGTTGGTGGCTTGCAGGCCTCGAGCTTGGAGGCAACCAGCAGGCGTTTTCGCATCCCACCCCCAATTTACCTCTGCTTGCCCAATGTTGGCTGCAGAGGCGCTGAGCTCGCCCACAGCCAAAAAGCTGCACCAGCGGCACTCTCCAACAGCTGCGATGGCGGCGCGCGCCAGGATAGCGCTGCTTGGCCTCCGCGGTCGCCGGATGCGCCTGGCAGCAGCGGCGGCCACTGCCCTCCTGGTGCTGCTGGTCTGCATGGCGCAGCGGGCGGCAGGCCCACACTTGCCGACGGGCTTCCCAGGGGGCGAGAGCCAGGCCGCGTCACGGCTGCCACAGGCAAAACACCTTGGAGTGCCCCTCAGCGGCCCAGTAGGCAGCCATGGCAGCGGCTTGCCTGGGGCCCTGGCAGGTGTGCTGGGCACGGGCAGGGGCTCTGGTGACGTGCTGGTGGAGTTCACAGCCCCCGGCCTCTTCGTGCCTCTCAGCCAGGCACTGGATGGCAGCCATGCCGAGTGGCCAGAGGAGGCGCCGCTGATTGAGGCGGTGCCGCTGCGCGAGCTCAGCCCACCAGAGCTGGTTGCCTTTGGGGGGCGGCCCACGCTGGAGCAGGTGCTACGCCAGCGCCAGCAGCAGCAGCAAGCTACCAGTGATGGCAGCCCAAGCGTCGCCGCAACCGGCGGCGGGGTGCCGGCCTCTATCGCAGCCCTGGCTGGCGGCCCGACCCGTGGCCAGACCTCTGCTGACTTGGCAAACCAGATTCAGAGCGAGCTCCAGCAGGCAGAGGAGGCTTCCCAGCGGGCAAAGCGGGAGAAGGAGGAAGCGACGGCCAAGCCACAAGCGTCAGTGGCGGCCGCGAGAGGTGAAGCGACTGAGGAGAGCTACCAGGCTGCAACAGCAGCTCTGTTTCAGCGCGCCCAGGGGCGGCAAATGCTGCAGCAGCAGCTGGCGCAGGCGGTGCGGGCCGTCCCTGCTCAGAGAGATGTCGCCGCTGGCGGGCTCAGCAGATCTGGGGTGCGCATGCTGGTTGCGATCGCCAGCGCATGCTGTTCCAAGGCGGCGACTGTGCGGCGGGCCGCTATCCGGGACACCTGGGCCCAAACGATTCGCCAGGTGAGCCCCGCATCAGTGACAGTAGCGGCCCATTGCAGGCTAGCTGGCATGGGCTGATTTGGCAGCTTCACAGCTGGTGCCCCTCACTGCCCCTGCCATCCTGTCTGTGCCTTCCGCGCAGCACTACCCGAACATCGACCTCCGCTTCTTCCTGGCCCAGCCCGCCAGTGCAGAGCTGGCAGCGGAGTGGCTGCCACAGCTGCAGGTCGGCACAGAGCGCGCTGGCTGAGCAGTCCTGCCTGGAGATAACAGAGGCTTGAGAAGCTGCTGGATGTGCACGTGTCTTGTGCAGGAGGATTTGGCGCACAGCAACGACATCGTGGTGCTGCGCGGGCCCGACACCTACCTCAACCTGCCCAACAAGACGCTGCGCCTGATGCGCTATGCTTTGGCCCACCCGGCAGGTTGGTGAACCGCCTGCACACTCCGCCTTTGCTTCTTGGTCGTGTTAGGATGCCTCATTGAACGCACCAGCTGCTGCTTTCAACCCATCTGCACATGCAGTCTACACGCACGTGCTGAAGACGGATGACGACTGCTACATTCGGATTGGAAATGTTATGGAGGCGCTGGTGGACGATGCGCCAGAGCAGCATGCCTCTGCAACGGCAGCACCTGGCGCGCACGGCCCGCGGCGCCTGCCTGCCCTGAACAGAGCGCTGCGAGAGCAGATGGCGCGCGATGGCAGTCCTCTTCATTCCGATGGCATCAGTCTCTACAATGCCACCCGCCTGGTGGCCAGCGCTGGCTCTGCGGCAGGTGAGGTTAGGACGACTGCCGCGCCTGATCCTGGCCACAGTGTGCGTGCTTGCATGCATGCAAAATGCGCGGGCAACCCCTGCGGCGTTTGAGCTGTGGGTGCAGCGGCCACTCCCCCCTGACATGCAGGCCGCAAGTACTTGGACGATGCCGAGGGCCGCCCCATCTCGCTCGAGCAGCTGGCCAAAGATGCAGTGGCCGCCGCTAGGCAGCACCAGGAGCAGCTGCAGGCCGACAAGCCGGCAAGGGCAGGCAGACCAGCAGGCAGCACTGATGGTGTGCAGCAGGAGCAGCAGCAGCAGCATGCGGCTGCCTCGCTGGCTGCACCGGCGGGACTGGTTGTGGAGCCGACGCCGCGCATGCATGGCGTGTACCTGGGATGCCTGGAGAACAGGGGTGGATTCTTCCCGATTCGCGACCCCAACAGCAAGTGAGCTGGACAGGCATGGAGGCAGTTCCCTGCATCACGGGGCAACCTGCATCACTGCCAAGGACCGGCCGCTACGTTGTTGAGCCTGTGCCGCCCCCACCACCCCACCTGCTCCTGGCCGCAGGTGGCACATGTCAGATGAGGAGCTGCCCGACTCAGCAGTCCCCTTTGCCGTCAAGTACCTGGCAGGATGGGGGTGAGCTGCCCACCCAGTTTGCCTGCCATGGAACACCGCGCGTGCACATGGAATTGATTGTGCGCATATAGCCGGCCTCCTTTCCTGGCCCATTTCCTAGCCTGGCCCACCCTGCCTGTTGCTCCTCAGGTATGTTCTGTCGAGGGATCTGGTGGATCACGCCGTGCGCAAGGCCAACCTGTTCCGCAGCCGCCCCGAGGTGGCGCCTCCTTGGTTCCGGTGAGCCTGGCCTGGCCTCAGGGCTGGCAAGAACTTGGCCATGGCTGGGTGCCCCCCCAGTCTGCCTGTAGCTGATGCCAGCCGCCTGCTGCTTGCTGTGGTCACCGCGTGGCCGCGCTGTGCAGGCCCATGGCGTGGGAGGATGTGCTGATGGCGCTGCTGCTGATGGATGTGGTGGCAGAGCCGCAGGACCACCCCGGCTTCAGGGCTGCCTGGCGTGCCTGCCCCTCCACCACCGCCCTGAAGCACCTGGACGTGGATGCGCCACAGCTGTTCAGGGGGCTGTACGAGCAGGAGATGTCGGGTGGGTGCGATTGCTTGTGCTTTGAGTCATGGTTGCCAGGCCGCGGGATAGCGTGCTGGTGTCAGCGAACCCTAGTCTGGTGCCATGTGCAGCTGGCCAACCTATCCGATCTCGCACTGCCTGCAGGGCTGTGGGATGCCAAGCCGGTCCAGTGCTCTGCTGGAGACTTCCTTCCTGGGGACTACAGCAGCTGGAAGGCGTGGCGCGACTCGCTGCCCACCGTGGCCCACATTTGAAATGGGGGGAGGGCAGCAAGAGCTCGAGCGCCAGCGTGATTGTTCAATTTCATTTGCTACATGCTTTCAAGTTGAACCGTGGATCACCTGCATCTTATCCTGTGCTCGACTGTTGCTTGATTGAGTTGACAGATTGCAGTAGCATGTGAATAGGAGTGCCTACTCAGGCCCACGGCTAAGCAAGGGGCAATGTCCCACCTGGCTGGCAATCAGTTCGAGAGGCTGAGGCCGCCAACCAGTTCGTCCAGGGCAGCAGTCTCCGCAGCATCGGCCTCCTTCTCGATGTGCTTGGCTGCATCTGCCATGCTGCCACCGCTTTCCTCTGCCGCTGCCAGTGGCAGTAGCATGTGCTGGTCAGCATCATCCTGTTCGGGGGCCTCAACCGCTTCCTCCAACAGCTCTTCAGTATCTACTGAGGACAGGCCCCCTGCTGCTGTGAAAGCCTCAGGCTCCTCTTCTGCCCCTTTAGCCGCTGCCGACGAAGGAACAGGCATAGCCGCTTCGCCTGCTATTAACCCCACTTCCGGGGCTGCTGCTGCCCGATTATCCCCCATGCGGTCAGCTGCAGCTGGTGCAGGAGCTGTCATTGATGCTACCTCCAACTCTGCCACAGCAGCGGCCACGTCTGCTGCCTCCTCAGCCGTAAAACCGTGAGCAGATGCTAGGACAGCCGCCTCTGCAGTCAGGCTCTCCAGCTCAGAGCGCAGGCCGCCTGCAGCAGCAGTGGAAACAGCATGAGCCGACATGGTTCAGAGGGTCACATGGAGCTGTAACACGCAGGTCGGGCCAGGGGCATGGTCCCTGAAGCCTCACCGGCATCGCTGCCTTCATCGCCTGCCCGGGCCAGCTGCTTCTGAAGCTACGCATGCGCGCCCAGCAGGCCGCGCCACCGCGCCTTTGCTGCAGCCGTGGATGCGGCTGCCACAGCCGCCTCTGCCTCTGCCGCCTGATGCTGCAGCTGCTGCTCCTCAGCAGCAGCCGATGCTGCCTGCTCCTTGACTGTCTTAGCGCGCTCGTCAGCGGCCGCCGCCTCGGCTGCCGCCGTCTTGGCCTCTGCCGCTGCCTCGGCAGCAGCCTTGAAGTCGCGTGCCGCAGCTGCCACCTTCTTGGTAGCCTCAAGCTCTGGCACCCGGGCCCTGTAGGGCGGCGGACAAGCAGCATTTTACCGTCAGTTCTGTGAGCGGAGACCTCTCTAGCTCCCTACCGATCTAACGTGGTGCCCAGCGCAGTGCAGCCGAACAAGTCCCTAACAACACTTGACAGCCATGTACTTGTTGCGCCTGTCCAACCTAATCTGCACACCTGGCAGCCGCTGCGGCACCCTCCACCATCCCAAGCTCATGCTGCAGCTTGGCCCGCTGCCCTGCCAGCTCCCGCATGCGCCGGTGCACATCTGCCGCAGCAGCCTCTGCCTGCGCCACCTGGTGCTGCCCCGCCGCCTCCGCATGCCGCAGCTCTGCCATCTTTTCGGCCGCCCGCCCCGCCAGGTCCGCCTGTGCCCTCAGCTTTGCTGCCTGGGCAGCGGCCGATGCAGCAAGCCTTGCCGCCTGTTCCAACTGCTGCAATGCCTCCGCGACGGCAGCCGTGGCGGCCTGCTGATCCGTGGCCGCCTCCTGTTGTGCCTGCTCCAGGCTGGCTGCCTCGCCCTCCACTTCCATTTGGCAAGTAGTTAGCTCCTGCTGGTCGGCATCGATGGCAGCTGCCACCTCGGCAAACTTGTTCGGCAGGCCAGCAATGGCGGCATCCGCCACATTCAGCTTCTGCTTGCTGCCCAGCAGCTGCGCCTCTTTGACCGCAAGTGCCGCCCTGCAAACAGACGGCCAGATAGTTCTCAAGTTCTGTTGTCACGCCGGCGACAGCAAAACGAAACCACAAACATGGCACAGGGCTTTGGCAAGAGCAGGCGGCCCACCTCAGCTCTTCGACCTCGCGCTCCAACCCCGCGTGAGCAGCTGCCCGCTCCTGCCGCTGCTCCTGCAGTTGGCGCTCCAGGTCTCCCTGCTGCTGCTCCAGCTGCGCCTGCCGTTGCTGGATGCTCTGCCGCAGCTCCTGGGATTGCTGCTGCAGCTGCTGGATGCGTTCCTGAGCGGCAGCCACGGCACATGCCGCCGCCGCAGCCACCTGCACAGCGTGCTTCTCAGTCGCCACCTTGCGCCGCTGCTGAGCATCCCGCAGGCTGCACAGTGCCGCGGCCGCTGCCTCCCACGCCGCCGCCTGCTCCCGCACCAGCAGCAGGCGCTTCTCGCTGGCGCTTCGCTGCATGGCCTCTGCTGCTAGCAGGCCCAACTGGCATTCTTCCAATGCAGCCTTTGCCGAGTCTTGGTCATTGGAAAGCACAGCTGCCTTCTCATAATCCTCTGCCTCCACCGCCACCTTCTCCGCCTCTTGCAGCTCGGCGATGCGCGCCGCCAGCGCTGCGCTGTCCGCCACTGCCTGTCGCCGCTGCTGCGTGGCTGTGTGCTCCTGCTGCTCCAGCTCCTCCTCCTCCCGCGACAGGTGGGCGGCCATGGCGTCCCGTTCCCTCGTAATCGCTGCCAGCTGCTCCGCGAAAGACGGTTTCTTTGTGCCCTGCTGCTCCGGCCGCGCTACTCCGGCAGAACTGCCACCACCTGCTGCCGGCGCAGCCTTCCCTGCCTGTGGCACGCCCTTCTGTGCCGCAGCACCAGGGCTGGGAAGCTCCAGCTCCTCCACAGGCCGGAAGTCAGGAGAGGTGATGGACTCATCGCTGTCTGTGTCAGCACTGCTGCCAAGAGGGCCGCGCACAGCCACTGCAGGCAGTGAGGCAGTGCGACGGGGTGGGTTCAAGGATGCAGGACATGTGGCAGAGCATCATGCGGCACATGCAGGCTACAGCAGAGGCGATTGCGCCCAGCCAGCAGTGCATTCGTTGCAAGCCACGCACCTGTGCTGCGGCGCGAGTCGCAGCTGTCAGAGGGGTGCTCGTCGGGCTGCATGGCTGTGGCTCTGGCAGGCAGATCCAGGCAGATGTCCAGCTGGGCCACATGCTGCTGCAGGGCAGTGAGGTGCTGCGGGTCGACACAGCCGCTGCGGGCATGCTGCTCTTCCTGGGCTTCGCCCTCGTTGTCGCTCCCAGCCTCGCCCACTGATGCCGCGGCCGACTCTGCGGCTGTCGAGCCCCATCGAGAGCCCTGGTGCAGCTGGCCGCTGTGCGAGCCGGGCGTGCTGCCACTACCGCCATGGCCGGCGCCAGGGGCAGGACTGAAGGACCCGCTTCCCCTGCTGTGTGCGCTGCCCGCGTCTGAGGCTTGCTGTGCCAGAGCTGCTGCCGCCGATGCTGCGGTCTCCTGCGCTGTTGGCGACATTGTGCCTGCGCTTGCCAGTACGGCTTCGAGGGTGCTGGCATGCGGCGCCTCCAGGGCAGCAGCCGGAGATGCGGTGCGCGCGTAACCAATTCGGCTGCGGATCACCTTCTTTCGTCGCCCAGCCTGGGTTCCTGCCCCTGCTCTGGCCGGGTCGCCTACTGCATGGCCCATGGGCGGCAAGTCCGCAACCATACCAGCAGCAGCCGCCGCTGCAACGGCAGGGGCGGCAGCAGCACCTGCTGTGGGGCTGTCGCTGGCGCTGCCGGCCCGAGGCAGGTCAGCACCAGCTGTCGCTGGTGCTGCCATGGCTGGTGCTGCCACCTCTGCAGCTGGCGAAGCTGCCTCAGGCTCCACCGCCAAACTGGTGAACAGGACCTCATCCAACGCCGCTCTGCAACAAGCCAGGAGAGCACCAAGATGGCAGTTCAGACCCATGCTTTCCCATGTGGTCACCGGATTCACTATTGGCCGGTAACGCAACAACAGCAGGGAGCAGGGCAGACATCGGTGGTGTGCCTCACATGTTGCTATCGTCCATGCCTGATGCCGCGCTAGCCAAGGCGTCCTTACTCGCTGCAGTTGCTGGCGAGTCAGTGGGGCCCTGTTCAGCTGAGCTTGCTGCGGCCGGGGCAGGCGAGGTGCTGCCGGCGAGTTTAGCGGCCAATGGCACAGGTGGTGCAGGCTGAGAACTGGTTGGGGCTGGGATTGGGACTGCATCCACCAAGCTGAGGCCAGAGAAGAGGTCATCATCGTCCGCCCCAGGGCCAAACACAGCTGGCGTGGGTGCAGGTGCAGCAGCAGGCGGCGGTGGCTGCGGAGCCGCAGACCGCGACGGTGTGGTCTTGAGCAGTTGCTGCGTGGCAAATTGCAGCTCGGATTGTAGCTCCTCGACCTGGCTGCGGTAGGACAACAGGAGCAGCGCGATGAGCAGGTGGCACACACAGCAGCTGCAAGGCCAGGCTCAGTGGCGTGTCCCACCTGCGCCACACCGCCTGCAGGTCTGCCGCCATGCCGCCGCTGCGGACGAGGGCTTCCAACGCGTGTATGGAGCGCTGCGCGCTATTCAAAAGCACAAAACTATCATCGCCCTGCGCCGTCTGCACCCGAAGCTTGTTCAGGGCAGCCTCCGCATCGGCAAACAGCTGAGAGGCCTTCTCCTCCAAGCCCTCGTCTGCCGCCTTCTGCGCAGCAGGGCTCAGCCCAAAGAACGCCCGCATTGCACAGGCAGCCGCGACACTCTCTTAGAGGAGTTTGGGTCAACCACGGCCCGCCCCGGGCTTTGCAGCTGTCGTGCCGGCGCCAGTCTATAAAAAAGAAGAAGAAAAAGAAGAAGACAGCTGCCCGCTGCATTTTGGCTGCGCCCGAGCCAGGCGGGCGGCCGCCCGCGGGCACAGCGCCATGAAATGCGGCCGACCCTCTCCGCCACCCTCCCCCTCCTGCACAACTCAATTGTTTACTTTTCTATTACAGTGTGTGGGTCCTGCGGCTGGAGAGCCGCCACTGCAGCAGGGCGCAGGCCCCACGCAGTCGCCACCAGGTGGTGTCAAGAGGGTACAGAGCCGGCAAACTCATACACGCCAACTAAAGCGGAACGGAGGAACGGAAGCAAGGGGGGTGGTCTTCTCTGTTGTGCTGCTGTTGCTGCTAGGTAGTGCTGCAAAAAGCTGCGAGGGTAGTGTGCTGCTGCTGCGGGTGCCAAAGCTGCTGCCAAGCGCCGGCGGCTGCCGACGCTACGGCGTTCAGCTTACTGGCCAATGGCGGAGGTGGAGACCACCAGGTTCACGCCCACGCCAAGCAGCACAACGATCAGACCAGCCCACGCCAGCAGGCCCTTGGTGCCAAGCTTGTAAGAGTCGCCTGCACGCACAGGGCACGCACGGGGCACAGGACAGGCCTCAGGCGGGATGGATGCGAGCATGCGCGCGCTTCGTGCCTGCTTTAAACCGCACGTTGATGAAGCAGAATGAGGCCGGTGCGGCTGCGGCTGGCTCCTGCTGGACCCAGCCGTCGCCGCTGCATGGGCGCTGCGGGCTGCCAGGATGATGGAAGCTCGGTGCAAGGCGCTCACCAGACTCAGACCAGGTGTCGGGGGTGTAGATTGGGCTGTAGCCGTCCACATTGGCGCCATACTTGTTGGCAAAGCGGTACACGCCGTAGCCCTGCAGGCGCGGCAGAACCAGATACGGTGGCTGGCCAGTCCAGAGTGTGCGTGCAGGCGCGTCCGTCCCCGCCATCCCGCCGCCATCCCCGCCATCAGGCCCAATCGCGTCGCGCCGGTTTCGGTGACTGTGCCACCGTGCGCCGCGTGCAGACCATTCACATGGGCCGGCAGGCACAGCGTCTGGCTCTCCTCCAACCGCGGGAAAGCGGCGGCCGCTCTGGCGGAGGAGCGGCGGCAAGCGGCACGCACCTTGCCCTTGCGGCCCTGGGGGTCCACCCAGCCCTTGGACTCCATGGTCTTGGACTTGCCCATCAGGTTGAGCTTCACTGTTTCGTTCTCGATGGAGTTGAGGCCCTGCTTGCTGATGTCGATCTTCTTGGCCCCGCTGGCCACCACGGTGGTGTTCACGCTCTTGCGGGCGCTGCAGGCGGCGGCAATCAAGGGCACCGGTCAGTAGCCTCGCCTGGCACCCGATCAGAGGCCCAGAGGATGCTCCCGGCGCCCAGCCAGCTCCAGGGTTCGCCTGGCTACCACTGGCGGCCGTCTACCAGATAAAGAATCCAGCTTTGGGCACGGCTGGGTGTGGTGGTGCCTGGGAGTCACTCACCGCGCGCCAGAGACCGGGAGGGTCTTGCCGAAGCAAGCGGACTGGGTGAGGGCCTGCATGGTGTCTGTCTGGAGCTGGCGACTCGGCAAGAGCTGGGAAACACAACGTGGGGCTCGCGCGGAGGTGAATTTGCCGAGTGGAGATGTGATGTGCCATCCTGCCTGGGACAAGCAAGCGCCTCCTCCCCCGGCTGAATTCGCTCGCGCCCTCTGCGTGTGTTTCCCCAAACACTAAGAGGTCGTGATGGTGCCGCCATGGCCGCCGGCGCTCACTGCTCACATGGCCTCGCATCGGCCTCCCCTCCCATACAGTTCTTTGCCAGCCTCACGCACTGTGATGAAGCAGATGCGACCACAACGCTGTTGGCTCCATTGAAGGGACGCATTACAAGTGCCCCTGCCGCCGCCGCTCCGCCTTATGCGCTGCTACCGCTCCTCGCGCGGGCGGCCCACCGTGCCGCCAGGCAGGTGCCCGTCCCCAGCATAACCTGGCTGCCCACGTCTTGCCACCCCAGCCCCGGGTGCCGCGCGGCGCCGCCCAGGTCCAGCCATGCGTGCCCGCCCGCCGCCGCCAGCCGCCCGCCCTCTATCCGTCGCCGCCCGCGCCGCAGGCCCAGCCGCCGCGCCAGCCAGCCGACCACCCGCGCGGCATACACATGCAGCACTCCCGTCGCTATGCCGCACAGGTGGCCCGTCAGGCTGGCATTGGGGAACAAGGCGTGCGACATCAGCAGGGAGGGCCAGGCCGCAAGGCGCCCCGCCGTGAGCACAAACTCCTCTGACGGCGCCACCTGCGCTGCCGCCAGGTCCGCTTCCCGCATGTACCCGCCCACCACCTGCGCCAGGAGGATTGGGGCAGGGTAGCAGCAGTGACCAATGAAGGTCAGCAAGCAAACACGCTGCCAATCCGTGACGGGGCACGGTAGGGGGCAAACATGGCACAGCGGCCTGCTCGTTGCCTCACCCTGAGTGCCAAGGCAATGCCGCTGAACCCCACGACAAAGCTGAGGTAATAGTCGTTGGCCAGGGAGCTGTTGGGCAGAAATCTGACGGCCAGCCGCGTGGACAGCACTGCAATGCAAATCAGCACATGCAAGTGCTGCTCAGCATTACGGCCCACTGCTCAGCAGGCCACATGTCATGATGGGATCGGATGCTGAAGCAGGGCGCTGGCCAGGCATGTGCAAAGGCGCTGGGCCAGCCCGCCAAAGCATGAACACAGCCCGCCATGGCAGGAGCAGGCAGGCAGCGGGTTCGGCAGGACAACAGAAGCTGTTGTGTCCAGCTTGCTCACGGTAGAGGCCCTGCGAGGTGAGACTTGTAGAGGCCACCAGCGCCAGAAAGGCGGGGGAGCCGAGGCGGCGCTCCAGCGGCAGCCCCTCCAGCACCACCGAGGTGCAGTTGCTGACCAGGTGCGTCATGTCGGCGTGCAGCATCACGCCGGTGAGCAGGCGGCGATACTCGCCGTGGTGGAGCACGCGGTGTGTATTCAAGCCAACCTGAGGGTCGGGAGAGTGAGTGTGAGGAAAAGGCACTTGTTAGTTGCGGGATGGCAAGCGACACAGCTCGGTGGTAGAACTGCGCTCCACAGCTCCACAAAAGTGTCCCCGGGACACACATGCCAACGTCAGCTCGCAGCAGCACGCCTCACTTGCAGCAGGCGATAGCCGCCGGGCCGCATGTGCAGCGCCGCCTGCGCGGCAACCAGGCCCACGGTGGCTGTCGACAGCTCCTGCTGTTGCAGCGACCTGGCCACCGACAATGCGCCTGCACCATGGTGGCACCAGAGCTGCCGGATGAGAAAACAGCAGCAATAGGCGGGATTCCAGGAACACGCCCCGCTGGCGGTGTGCTCACACGAGGCCATGTAGCCATCTTGCCAAGTCAGCCGCCGCCCCGCCTCCCAGGGTGCCGTGTATGTCTGAGGGATGGTGGGTCCGCCCAGCAGGCCCGTGGGCCAGCGCAGCCGCTGCTGGTCGCAGCCCAGCGCGCCGCTCAGGTCCTTGGCCGCCTCTTCGGCTGCCCCACGCACCGCCCGCCCCGCCTCGATGGCAGCGCGCGACAGGGAGCCCCACAGCGCGTCGTCTGCTGCCATGGCGCCTGCGCTGCTGCCCTGGTGTGTCAAGGGCTGCACCAAATCAAGTAGCCTGCAGGGAAGAGGAAGGACCGGTGTGGAGGCAGGGTGTTGCCCTTCTCCTGCGCACAGTAATCAGCGCATGACTGTGTGCGAGCCTGGATGGCCCATCTGGGAGAGGACGCTTGTCTGCAGTGAAGTGACGTGTCAGCGGGTTGCGTGGCCTAGCCAAAAGTTATCTCCTGTTTGACGCCCGCATACACCAACTGAGTCACCCGTGTTTGGTCACATCTTCTTCTTCTTGGGCTTGAGATCCACCATGCAGGGGATGCGGGTTTCGCACTGTGGCCAGGTGGGGCTTTTCAGTTCCTGAAAAGCTCTGTTGCACGGTGCCTCCCCTCTTCTGGCCCGTAGCTGACCCACCCAACTGCAGCCACTGCTGCAGGCTGCCCCTGGCGCACGGCTGGTCCAGCTGCGCTGCAGGGCGCAGGCCGCAACCACCACCACCACCCCGTCCCGCCCCTCTGGCCCGCTTGTAGGTGCGGTGGAGGCGCTCTTCCGCTTCCCCCCCTTCTTCAACATGGCAGCTAAGCATGTGAGGCCATGGGAGGATGTACTCACTTTGTGCTTGCTGCGGCTCTTGTCTGGGCTGGCTCGCTGGCATGAGGAGGGTCCCCACTGGCTCGTGATTCCATCGCCCTGCTGGCAGGCGCGGGCCATGATTGTGAAGCGGGGGGAGAAGATGGGTCTCGATTTCGAGGCCGAGATTGACGAGCTGCGGAACGTGGACTGGGACCAGGAGCTGCAGGCGGTGGAGGACGCAAGCGTGCAGGTTTGCAAAGCGCGGGGTTATCAATGGGCACCCTTTTCCAAGGATGAGGCCACTGATGCTGCCGTTGCTGGGATTGTGCCCATCTTCTCAGCCACTTCGCCTTTCCCACCTGCGCTGGCTCCGACCTATCTATTTTTTTTTTCTTTTCCTTTGTTTTGTCAGTATCCCGCTTACTACACGGTGCCCTTCCATGCCTACCCCGAGGGCAACCTGGGGTGGACCCCGGCCATGGAGATGACGGTGGCGGCCAGAAGTGTGCACAGCACAGTCTACGACCCCACCGGCAAGACGCTCGACCCAGAGGTGCGCTGGGATGGGCAGCCTGCGGTGGTGCTGTTAGTCAGCAAAGCACAGTAAGTGGGGCATCGATAGTGCTTTGTTGCTTTGTGGGGCACCGCTGCTGGGAGGCTGGGGGGAGAAGCAGCAACTCACAAGTTGCCGTATTTTCCTTCCTTGCGCCCACCCGCTGCGCAGGGCGATGACAACTTGCGCAGCAGCTACAGTCGTTGCATGCAGCAGCTGCTGGAGGAGCAGGGGGCACGGCCCATAGGGCAGATTCTGGATGTGGGGGCGGCCACCGGGCTCAGCACCCTGGCGCTGTTGCGGGCCTTCCCGGATGCGGAGGTCACAGGTGGACCAGGCTGGCAGAAAAGGCCCTCGCCGCACTGCCGCTGTGGCCTGCTTCAATGTCTGCGTAGTGGGGCCATGGGTACGGTTGCATCCCTAAGGCATTCAGCCGAGCCCGCGCCGCTTGATGCAGGCATCGACCTGTCTCCACACATGCTGGCGGTTGGCAGCTACCTGCAGCGCCAGCGGAATGAGCAGCGCGCTGCGTCAGGGCAGCCTCCTGAGCGGCTACACTTTGTACACGGCGCCGGCGAGGATACTCGGCTGCCCAGCGAGAGCTTTGACCTAGTCAGCGTCATGCTGGTGAGATGCAGCAACTGGATTGGTGTGACAGTTGCCTGCTCATGGCATGTGTGTGCTGGGGCCATGGAAATGCTGCACACACTTGTGGGGGCCTCGCTGTCCCTGTTGTTGCTTCTGCTAGCTGTGACCTTGACGCTGCTGGTGCGCTCCCTCTGGCGCAGGTGTGCCACGAGCTGCCTGCTGCCATCAGCCAGGCCATCTTCAAGGAGGCATACCGGCTGCTGCGCCCCGGCGGTGCCCTGGCTGTCATGGTGAATCTGCTGCCCTGCCTGCCTGCCTGCCCTGCCTGCCTGTGGCTGACTGCATGTCCCTGCAAGAGTTTGAAGCTGCGGCTGCACTTCCCTGTTCCGGGCGAGCGGCATCTCATGTGCAAAAGGTCTATCAACATGGCTGCCCTTGCTGCCACCCCACCTGCCTTCCCGCACAGGAGATGAACCCTGCCAGCGATGGTTTTCGCAGGATTTTCTCGCAGCCATTCCCTTACGTTGCTTTCAAGAGCACAGAGCCCTGGCTGCTGGAGTACCTCAGCCTGGACATGGCGGGTGCCATGGACGAGAGCGGGTTCACAGCAGTGAAGCAGCTGGAGAACTCGCCGCGCCACAAGACGGTGGTGGCGGTAAAGCCCCAGTGATGAGCCGGGGTATGAGTTTGCCGAACATCGCTGGCTTCGCTCTGGCTTTGCAGGGATGCCACCAAAAGAACTTGCATGCTTCTGCTGCTTTGCCGTCTGCTCTGCTCTGCCCCTGAGCGCTTCGTGCTGATACTGTCACTTTCGCGTTGTCAAGTTTGCACAGCATCGCAACTATATGGTACTGCAGTAAATGTGTGATCCCATGATAAGCAGCAGCAGCCTTGACAGGGCTGAGGCGGCCTGCAGCTTGGCAGATCCCTCTTGGCACCATTCCTGGCGTAATGCGCCAGCATGCCCAGTCACAAGTGCGGATCTCCTGCAAGGGGCAGGGTGGGTTTGGGGCGCAGCAGCAGCAGATGGGGCTGTGATCGGGGCGTGTGTGGCTTGGGGGCGCTACAGGGCTCCAACACACCGGCTTGCCGCACAGCCTGCAGACCAACGATCACAGCAGGTTAGAGAGAGAGACACATGCATAAATCCGTACTTCGCAAGGCTGGTATCATTCTGTACACACACTGCACGCTGAAGAGCTATGCGCAGCGGCTGATTTGAAATGCGGGTAACAAAGCAGTCCTGGCAGGCAGCGTCTCAGCTGCGGTACCGCTCCCCTGGTTGTTGAAGGTGTTCTCTTTGGGGATGATGGCTGCAGGCGGGATACCGGCAGGAGGCACAGTGACTGACGAGAAACGTTACGGGCACCAGTCGCAACAGGGACGCGTCAGGGCAGGAACGCAGATGGGCTTCAGGGGGTTGACGTCATTAGCAGGCAGAGGCAGGCAAGGCAGCGTGTGAGCACACACAACCTCGCGAGCGTAGTGTATGGGACAGGTGTGTCAGAGTTGGGCAACTCATTTCAAGCTGGTGACCCACCCGCCCGCCCACCTACCGCTGCCACTGCTGCCCAGACCACCACCACCAACAGCACATCTGCGCCCGCCGCTGGAGCTTCCACCCGCTGCTGGTGCTGCTGTCTACGACCTCAGCTGCCCACACCCCTGCCTGCAGGCGCACTGGGATGTTGCTGTCACTATGTTGCTCACGCGCCATTTGCTGCCTGATGCGGGAACCCTCCAACTACCTTCGACCAACAGAGCCCGCGGACTGGGCGGAGGGCCACGGGCTTGGGCAGATAGCTGGCAGCAGCTGCTGCTGCTTCTCGGCGGCCACGGCCGAGGCCGCGCCCCGCAGGGGCATGCCCGCATGCTGCGGATGCTGCCGCACAAGAGTCTGATGCTGCCGCGAAGCAGTCACCGAGTCGCTCCGCTGCCTTCTCTTGAGCCCTGCTGCTGCAGCTGTGGCCCTGCTGCTGTCACGTCCAGAGCAGCGGTGCCTCCTGGGTCCTGGGTGGCCAGGGGCTGAGGGCCCTTGACACCTAGCAGCCACGGAGACGGCGGGGTGCAGGAGTGAGGCGGCGTCTGCGGCGGCAGCCTTGCTGGCAGAAGCGGCCCAGTTTGTGGGGGAGCAGCTCTTCCTCCAGAGTCCCTTCTCCGGCTGGCTGCTGCCCCTCCAAGGTTGCTAATCTGCGATGGCCAACCAACTGCATGCACTCACTTTTCCAAGTACAGTAGATGGGTAGATCAGAATCTTCATCTGAGTCTATTCACATTTTAAGTAGTGTTTGTTCAAGTCAGTAAGTATGGCACACACCAAGAACCTGGCACGGATTGCAGTTCTCGTAGGACGGCTGGACGATGACCAGCAGGAAGAGGCGCTGCACCTCTTCTCCGAGCAACATGCCACGATTGAGGCCCAAGGAAAGAAGATATTGGAGCTAGAGGCGAAGAACGCAGAGCTGGGGGTCAAGAACGAGCAGCTAGAAGCGCAGGTCCTGCCCATTTTGAACCTGCTGCTGAGCATTGCAAGGGCAATTACCAGGGTATTGCTAGGTAACGTGCTGCCCGAGTCTTGGAGCCGCGAAAAAAGTGAGTGAGCGCGTGGCCCCGCTGCCGCACTCGAGGTTTGCAGGACTGCAGCTGCTCTTGCTTGTCACTTGATATCATGAGAGGGTTACAGTCCACATGTTAGCAGAGCTAGCGTGCAGCATAGACTTTGCATTGTGTCTTCCTGCAGGGATTGCCGCTGCGGTCGTCATCTTGCTGGCGGTGCTGGCCGGGCCAGGCTACTGCTCCTGGGCGGAAGGGTTTTGGGCTGGCACGGGCAAGTGGGGTGGCGTGTACTCGATCTTGGGCTTGGCCCTGGCGCTGCACATCACCCTCGTGGGCTCTAAGCTGTCGCCCTTGCCAGTGGCGGCTGCCACCAGCGAAGCGCCAACCACTGGCCGAGTTTGAAGGTTGGTTAAACTGTCTGCAACAGCAGCTGGACAAGTGGCACCCCCTGACTGCTGATGCTGTGCCCGCTTGTCTCCCCGCCTGCTTGCAGCCCACCGTATCCAGGCAGCCGATGCTGGCATGAAGCTGGTGAAGCAGGGCAGGGCATGTCACAGGTCGGGCAGGCAGTTGGCGGGAGCAGCCAGCCTGATGGCGCCGTGACATGTCATCAGTTATACAGCCCTTTCTGTGTAAATCCGAATAATTGGCCCAACTTGCAAGTCCGTACCGAACAGTCAAACAAAAATATGGCGACAGGCAAACACGCTTGGTGCCTGCTCTGGATCTCGAGCGGTGGCACAGGCGCCAGCGGGCTGCCTGCCTGCCTTGAACAGCTGCCCACTCGTGCGCATCAACTCTTGCGCCTGCCGTGCCCGACTGAACTGTGTTGTGCTCTCTCCAGCGTAGGTGTCTGCATACGAGCGCGATGTGTCTTTGTTAATTGTCTTCCAGCTTCAATCCCAGCTGACCTCACAAGCACCTCCTGGCATACCTCCGTGCCATTTTTCCACCTCGCAACTGCTTCCTTCCCATTCCTCGCCGCTTCCTGGCCGGTCCCTGCCTAACCAGTCCCCTGCCCCACGCCAGCCCCCGCAGCGACCTTTGGCGGCTTGATGCCGATGTCCTCATACAGTTCTGGGTGAGGCAGCGGCAGCTCCACTGCTTCCTCGACCTCCTGCACAGTCGGGGAGGGCAGGGCTGGGCAGACAGACAGTTGCACAGGCAGGCAGACGGGAGGGGCAGGCAACACACAGCAGGCAGCGAGGGGGTGCAAAGGCGGGGCTCCAACAGGGGGACAACCAAGAGGCTGGCGGCCAGAGGAAGAGCAGATGCAAGCCGCGCCCCCCACGTGCATATGCTGGCCCAACCTTAATCCGACCTGACCCTGGCACCCACCTGGATTTGATCGTCAGGCTGCACAGGTCATCTTACTACTCGCTGAGCGCCTGCTCCTTCATCACGCTCACGGCGGGGTCTCCTGCATCTGTGAGGATGACCACCATCTGGTTGTCCTGCATCAGGCAGCAGCAGGACGCGGGGAAGCCGATCATCAGGGGCAGGAGAGAAGGGGCTGGTCAGCAGGAAGGGCAGCAGGCCCAGGCGGCCCGCTTGACGGCGCCACTAGAGCCAAGTGGTGCGGCAGGGCGCCAGAAGGCCGCCGTTCTGACTTCTGCATGATAATGTGCAGCCCTTAATGCAGGGAGTGCGTGCTTCCTTCGCGTTCTCCAAGAACAGCAGCCTTTCGAGGACAGTCCCAGTTCTGGAACGCGCTGGCAAGGTGGACAAGCGCAGCAGCGCTGTAGGTCGACGATCTCTGGCTCGTGTGGAGAGAGATCGTCCAGAGTCGCCAACCTCCACGGTGGCCAAGTGGCGTCTAGCTGGCGTCAGCCATTGTGCACGTCGTTCGGATGCTCAGCCGTGACTTCTTGTTAACTGGGAACCGCTACTGAGCAGGGGCGCACTTCCCGAGGGTTCGGCCTCAAGGCCCTTCGTTTTTGAGTCCCCATGCTGGCTCGCCCCGCAACCCCCACAGAGTTCGAGAGCCACGCCGCCAAAATCGAGTACTTGGTGAAGCGCTACTCTGAAACTGCGGCTGCCGCTGATGCTGCTTGTGCGGCAGCTGACGAGATGACAGCAAAACGGGTGGCGCGGGAGGAGGCGCGGCGTGCTGCGTGGGAGCAGAAGAAGAAGGAGGCGGCCTGGCTAGCGGCGGTGCAGGAGGCGCAGCATGCGGCGGCGCGAGTGGCTCAGAGGCCGCCGCCGGGTGAGTTGCTGTGGGAGAGGGCCGTCTGGCCTCTGCAGGCTTGACTGTTGGAATGCAGCAGTGGTCCATGTTCACCGTGCACATTGGATGTGAAGCTGGTGGCTTGCTTCTACGATGCACGCACGCCACAACTGACGCCGCCAGCACTCGCCGGCCGCCTGCCACCTGGCCTGCAGCCGTCGACGAGCTCAAGAAGAAGCAGTGACGATCGGCCAGCAACGGGGATCAGGCCCACCCCCATCACGCTTTGAGGGGCAGGCTGGCACAACATATGTTTCAAGTGGCGCTTGGTTCTGCCCACACATCTTACCTCAGCTGGTGCGGCACACGTCGCCCCACTCTGGATTCTGCCGCCTCAGCACGCAGCAGGGCCTGTGCACCACAGATGCGTTCAGAGGCATACTGTGGCGGATTTGCCGCCTCCTTGGCTCAGGCTGCCCCCAACCCTTTCTCTTGTACTTTGTTTTGTACATCACTCTGCCTGTCGCTCCCTGCCAGTGCATCCACTTCATGTTTTTTCGCCACGCTGCGGTGCACGGCTCACTCTTAAGAGTGCTGCGCCTGATACGCTGCTGCATTGGTGCTGAAATACCGTTTCCAATGTTCATTTCATTATCTCATGTCTGCCCCTGCGTTGCGTAAACATGTGTAAACCACCTGCATTCAGCTGAGCCACAAGCCGCTTGATGCGGGCATCAATGCCTATGCTGGCAGTTGGCAGCGACCTGCAGCGCCAGCGGATTGAGCAGCGCGCTGCGGCAGGGCAGCCTCCTGAGCAGCTACGCTTTGTACACGGCTGCCCAGCAAGAGCTTTGACCTAGTCAGCGTCATGCTGGTGAGATGCAGCGACTAGATTGGTGTGACAGTTGCCTGCTCATGGCATGTGTGTGCTGGGGCCATGGAATGCTGTACACACTTGTGGGGGCCTCGCTGTCCCTGTTGTTGCTTTTGCTAGCTGTGACCCCGATGCTGCTAGTGCGCTCCATCTGGCGCAGGTGTGCCACGAGCTGCCTGCTGCCATCAGCCAGGCCATCTTCACGGAGGCATACCAGCTGCTGTGCCCCGGCGGTGTCCTGTCTGTCTGTCATCTGGTGAATCTGCACTTTCACGTCAAATATGCACAACAGCATCGCAAATATTTGGGCAATGCAATCACTATGCGGCCAATTGAGGAGCATGGGTAAACTGGGAAATCCAACAGGGTAGAAACATGTGAATGCCGTAACTGCCAAGCTCGAATCAGACGGTTACTTGGGTGTAAAGGACCAATGGTTTGGGCAAGATGAAGCCGCTCCCAATGCATTTAACAGGCTCGCTCGGTGGCAGAACTGCAGCTTCATACAACCGCAGGCGCCTCCTGGAACTGCGGCTTGTCCCTGGCATCCTTCTTCTTCTCATTGCCTCGCATCTTGATGGCAAGCACCACGGACAGGACGCAGCAAGCAAAGGTTGTCCAGCTCAGAGCAATCACAACGTTCCGATAGTAGCCGCGAGGGTAGCCGCCGGGGAGATCATTGTTGTACACTGGCACAGCAGGGAGGGGAACACGGCTGGCACGGCTGTTTCTGAGCGCTCATGTGCACATCATGTGACTGCAGCATTTAAACCAAAAACAGGCCCCCAAACGTGTTGACCCACCAGTGGCCGTAATTGAGTAGGCCAGCCACCACACGGAGCCAAACAGGGAGAGCAGAAGGGAGACCATGGCGGGGAGGCATGCAGCGAACAGAGTGAACACGCAAGCAATGACGCCAATGGCGGCAGTGGCATAGCCATCTGCAGGGCAGGGGGGGTAAGAGTTTTTGTTGTTGTTGATGCAGAGGACGTCACAGCAAGGCACCCACGGCATAGATGTTGATGCCATGCAGGAAGGAAAGGCGTGGCTTGTGAGATAACTGCCATGCCACAGCAAAGGGCACCCACAGGCGCAGATGTTGACGCTCTTGTCCGACATGAGGCAGGTCTCCCCCAGGAACACGGTTTCGCACAGGCCGGTGAACGAATTGCAGACCGTGAACTCGCCAGACGGCCACAGCTGCTTGGCAATCACTATCACTATGCTGACAGCAAATGCCATCTGCAGCGAGTGGTGGCAGGAAGTGGCGGCAGCAGCGGGTCGGTGGCTCGCGAGCGGCGGCAGCGGTGGGAAACGCACGGACCCCACTCCGACACTGCTTCGCCATCCGCTCATGCCATGGTGAAGAGAGTTGGGCTACCCACCACGGCAAACGACAAGAAGCCCAGCACAAGCCCAGCCTTCTTGAATGCGAACGCCATCGCAGCTTGTTCGGTGTGCAAATGCCGCTGCAAGCGAGTATCGAGTGCCAGGAAGAAGGCGGGATGAGGGTGCGCTCCAGGCGCACCAGTGCAAGGCACTGTACTTGAGGCGGTACCTGTGCGGTCGAGGACGCGCAGCCGGAGCATGGGTCCCTTGGCTTGACATCGCGAGGCTTTCAGGGGCAGGAGAGTGCAGAGCCCAGTCCCGATCAATATCTCCGCCTCTCCGTCCTCTCTCAGGCCACAGGCCGCTTCTTCAGGTGCAGAAACGTGCCTGCCTGATGCTGCTGTGGCAGCGCCGATGCTCTCTTTGCTTGTTGCCGCCGCCGCCGCCGTGCCGCCACCGCCACCGCCACCGCCACCGCCCCTAACCCCCCTGTGTCCCACCGCAAGGGTTTTGTAGGAGGGCGCTGCGCACCGCACCAGCATGTCAGAGGCCAAATTGCAGCAGGAGGCAGAGCAGTCAGCAGCGGAGCAGCCAGGCACACCTCTGGCTGCCGCAGGCAGCGGGGCGACGGACCCTGCCGATGCGGGCCACGACGACGCGCTGGATGCGCCCTTGTTCGACCCGCCTTTTGCGCCCCTGAAAGCGCCTTATGTCTTTTGGCAGGACGTGGCCTTGCTGTCGCTGACTGGTGGCTTCATGGGAGTGTTCGGCTACTCCTTCTTGAAGGCCATTTCAGAGGGGACTGATGCCTGGATGAGAGCCGACGGCAACTCTGGCTACCCCGATGACCCCTCGTCGCTGCACTTTGGCGCCGGACGGTGGTGGTGGATCCTAATGGTGGCCGGCATGGGGCTGGCTGTCGGCCTGGTGCGCGCCGTGGTGCGCCTCGAGACCGCGCCCAGCTTTATCCAGGTGATGGCCTTGCGGTGCTCGTCTTCAAATTTGGGGCGCCTGGCTGGAGCCGCATTTGAGCCGCATGCTGCCCTCGCCAACCTGTCCCGTTGGCTTGCCCTGCAAGTCACTGCCCACCTGATTCTCCTTCTTGTCTCACCCCCCAGGAGCTACGGAGCATGCACGTGGATCCCAAGGTGGCCGCAAAGTCGACCGTCATCACCCTCATCTCTCTGCTGGGGGCGGTGCCCATGGGCCCCGAGGCCGGCCTGGGCGCGGCTGCGGGCACGGTGGCCACCCTGGTGTGCCGGCGGCGCAGCTTCCGGCAGCAGGCCACGCTGCGGCGGCGGCTGTACGTGCTGAGCACCATGTGCTCCGCCTTTGCCGCCTTCCTGCCCAGCCCGTTTGTGGCTGTGCTGATGACGATGGAGCTCAGCCAGCCCTTTGACACCCTGGGCCTGACGCACGTCCATCTGGCGCTGGTGCTGACCTTTGGCGCCACCGCCTCGTTCGCCGCATATTACGGCATCGCAGGCTACACCTATTACAGCCCTGCCATCTTTTTGACCGACATTGTGTCAGGATCGTACGATCAGGTAGGGGATGGCTGGGCGGCGTCTGATCTGTGTGGTCATGGTGAAACGTGCCTGTCTCCTGCTGCGCAGATGTTCATTGTGCAAGGCGCGCTGATCGGCATCGGCGGTGCAGCGTTCGGAGTCGTCTACATCCTGTTTGCGGGGTTTGTCCAGGTGGCAGTGCGCGCTGCCCGCGCCAAGCTGGACACCGCCGTCGGGCGTTGGCCCCGGGTGGTTGTGATGGCCACCGCCGGCGGTGCTGCCATCGGCGCGCTGGGCTGGGCCATGCCGCTGGTCCTGACCGACGGCTCCTCGCAGCTGCCCACCGTGATGCGGTCTGGGGCAGAGGTGGGGAGCGGCGTGCTGGCGGCCTCGGCGTTTGCCAAGGCGCTCGCCTATCACATTGCCGGCGAGTGCGGCTTCAGCGGCGGCATCTTCCTGCCCATGCTGTCCATGTCCTCCTTGCTGGGCCAGGTGGTGGTCAACAGCACTGGCATCAACGCAGCCATGGCGCAGTCCTGCTCCGCCATTGCCCTGGGGGCCGCCCTCATCCCTGCGCCCTTCATGCTGGCGCTCCTGGCCAACTCCTTGGCGCTGGTGGGGCCCCAGGGGCTGGTCCCCATCTTCACCACGGCTGCCACCGCCCACCTGCTGTGCATTGGCATCGGCGTGCCGCAAGGCCTGCTGGCAAGGGCTGCCGCCCAGCGGGCGGCCAAGGCCGCAGCCTCCGCCGCCGCTGCTGCCACCGTCAACGGCCAGGAGGTGGAGCCCTAGCCCAGCCCCCCTGTATCCTATCGTAACAATTGCTCTACTGTTTCAGTTACACCCAATCCCTGTGCTTGCTCAGCCGATTCTTTGCCGCAGTGCGCCCGCCGTCCCGCCGCCGCAGGCGGCGGACTTTTGCATGCTCCATCAAGTTTGCATCATGCTCCATCAACTTGCATGCTCCATCAACTGTAAGGCCGAAGTCTCGGGAAGCTGCAGACCCGCATTTTTGCAGGAAGAACCCTGTTTTGTTCAGGCTCTCCGCAGTCGGCCCACGCCCTGTGCGATCCCCCATAATAATATTCACGCAGCCCGAAGACTTGTGGGACGGTATGGGGGGCGTTTGAGGTGCAGCAAGGTGGAACCCACCATGCGGAGGAGTTTTTTTGCGGGCCTTGTCGCGTGGGACGCCCCCAGCCTAGTACGCACATGCGAGCTCACAATTGGTGTGGGCGCCGCAGCGTCCTTGCTCCCCAGCAGCGCGTGCCACACTGCGGCGACAGCAGCCCCCCGCCTGGCAGCGGCAGCAGCGCCGCAGCCGCTGTTTCGCCTTTGCTGCTTCAGCAGCAGCAGCGGCGGCAGGGAAAGGACCACTGCATTTCTCGGCCTGCCCATAGCAGCGCAGCAGCTCATCAGCCTGCGCGGCTTCCGCACCAGCAGCCTGCGGCCGCATGCGGCGGCAGCCCTGGGGGTGGTGGACAAGCTGCACGACGAGGCAGCCGTCATCCTGCCCGCCGACGGGCGCGGGTCCAGACACTTTTGGGAGGTGCGGCGAGGGAACAGGCGGCAGGACTGGTGGGCACGCCCGGCTGCCCCGACGGCCATTCCGCCGACTGCTTGGCGCATGGGATGCCCACCCTGGCTTGCATGCAGGTGCTGGAGTTCCGGCCCGACACGACTGTGCTGGAGACGTGGAAGACGCCCGACGTGCTGGGGCTGCACCCGCGCGACGTGTACCTGTTTGCCTCGGATGTCGGCATGGGGCAGCGCGCCATGCTTGCGGCGAGGTCCAGCGCCATCCTGTTCCGAACAGATGTGTGCAAGGCGGTGGTGTATGGCGACCGAGCCGTGCTCTTCCCCTCCAGGTGCGCCAAGATTGTGAGGGGACGGGCCCAGGGAGGCTGGCAGGCAGGCAGCAGAGTCATGCCAGCACACACGGCTGGTTGTTCCAGCTGCTGTTGCCGCACTACGGCGGGTGCACCCACTTGTGGCTGTGCATGACCCGCAGGCGGCTGTCTGATACAATAAAGATCTCGCAGAGCATCAAGGCGGCCATCTCGCAGAAGTCGCCACTGCCGTTTGAGTTGAAAGTTCTGGAGGCGCTGCTGGCAGGTGGGTGCGGTGGATGAAAGGCTGGCACCTGCTGCTGGTGGTGGTGGTGGTGGCATACCATGGGGGGGCCTGGTCACTTGCTGCTGTGCTCACGCACTTTTACCTTGTGTGGAGCGGAAGGCAGGGGGTGCCTTGCCAAGGCGCGCAGCATTGCCTCGTTTCTGCCCTGCAGAGACGGCACGAGCGTACTCGAACAAGGCCAAGCGGCTGGGCATCGTGGCGGAGACGGTGCTGCAGGACATCAACACCAACTTCTCCAGCAGTGCCGGCGAGCTGCAGCGCCTCATCCCCATCCAGCGGTGCGTGCCTGCACCCGCAGAGCCGCCGCCCTGGTTTACCTGAGGCCCTTCACGTGCCCTGTGCTCGCACCACAGGAGTTGGCAACCTGCTGCCGCCCACCCACGCCGTGCCCTCCCTCCCCCTCCCTCCCGTCTTGCCTGCTGCCGCGCCCCGCAGGAAGCTGACCGAGGTGCAGAACGATGTGCAGGAGGTGCTGGATGCCATCAGCGAGACGGTGAACGACGACGCCGAGATCCGCAAGCTGTGCCTCAACGAGCGCCGGCTGCGCACGGCGGCGGCGGCCGCGGCGGCGCGCGGCGGCGAGGCCAGGGTGCCGCCAGAGCTGCAGACCTCAGGCGGGCGCACGCCGGAGATGCGCATGGGGTCGGCCATCTTAGAGAGCTACGAGTTCAAGCTGCAGGGCACCTTTGTGAGTTGTGGGCCGGGGGGGCTGTGCAGGGATGTGCCAAGAGGCAGGCCACCGGCTCCAGACATCTAGTGTAGTGCCTTTGGCTTGGTGCTTGAACTGGCATGAGACTGGTTGGGCTTGAGAGAAGCGCGGGCCCGCCCTGCCCAAACCCTGCCGCGGCTGCTCGGCTGCTGCTGCTCCCCTCGGCGTGCAGGGCTCCCTGAAGGAGGTTCTGGAGAGCATGGAGCAGACGCGCACTGTGTGGCACATGCAGCTTGACCACCAGCGCAACCGAGTTTTAAGGATCAACCTCTTGATCTCAATCATGAGCCTAGGTGCGAACAGAAACCGACCAGAGGCCTGTTGTTGTTTGCTGGTGCAGCTGCGGATGAGGGAGCTGCGCAAGGGAGGGTATGCGTGATTTACGATGCAGGCACTCTCACGGAGCATGCACATGTGTGTGGGGTGGCGTGCAGGCTGCGTCACCGCCACCATGCCCGCCGCCTACTTTGGCATGAACCTGAGCAGCGGCATGGAGGAGGTGCCCGGCGTGTTCTGGCCAATGGTGCAGGTGAGGCGTGGCGTGGCTGGGCTGTGTCGTCGGGAACCACATTCTGTCTTTGCACACAGCAGGGCGCATTGTGGCACGGCGTGGCGTAAATCATCGGTAACGCCCCCGGCCCTCCTGCACCTCTCCACGCAGAGCTCCGTGGTGTTTGGCATGCTGGCCTCGCTCAGCATGTGGATGTACTACAAGGTGGGGCCCAAGCGGCGGTACCGGGCGCGCCTGCGGGACATGCGCTCCCTCAGGGACCTGCTCATCTTCCACCTCGACGACCTTGACGACATCATGGAGTGCGTCTGGTTTGGGGCCGCCGTCGTCCTTGCGTGCGTTGCCACGCTGGTGCTTGCATTTGTGCTCTTGCTTTGTGAAGGCCACCTGCCGCACGCGAGGTTTGGTGGACTGCGCCGGCTTGCTGCTCATTGTGTCCTGCTTGGTTGGCCTGCCCCGGGCTGTACTGTGCTCCAGTGCGGTGAAGCTGCGCGCGCGCAGTGGCAGTCCGGTGAGCAAGAAGGAGTTCCGGGCCATCGTGCAGCAGGTGCGTGTGGTGGCCGGGGGCGGTGGGCCCACGGTGCGCGCTCAACTGCCACGGCGAGCCGGCGGCGCCAGGCTGAGCCTGGGGGGCGAGGGAAGATCTCAGCTGCGATGCAGCAAGATACTGCCGTTGCCAGCCAGCATGATGTGTGACCGGCATTCTGTGCTGCAGGCCGTGGGCGGCAAGCCGATGAGCCAGGAGGAGGTGGAGCTGCTGTTCCGAGTGTTTGACACCAACAAGGAAGGGTTCTTGGAACTGTCAGGTGGGTGCATGGGTGTGCCTGCTGGGCAGCAGCGCGTGCTGCGTGTTTCGGTGGGCCCGTGTGCTGCGTGTTTTGGCTGTTGGTGGATCTAGGGCCAGCCTGCTGTCCAGCCCATTGATGCCGGCCGCTGGCCCTGGTGTGGCCGACAGCTTCCTGGTGTGCCACTGCTCCCCTGGGGCTGCAGAGATGGTGAGGATCGAGGAGCACATGGATGACAGCTTCTCGCAAGTACACTACTAGCCAGCGCCACAGCGATGCATCTCTCCCCTTGTGACCTGCCCCTCCCCGAGTGTCTTCATGCCCTGTGCAGTCACGGTTTGCTCTTTTGCTCGCCAACATTGCTTCTGTCACCATCTGGCCCCGCTTGTCTGCTCCATTCCGGCTGTAAATTTGCTGCGTGTTACCGTGTTGCCAGCTGCCCAAACCTTGGGGGAGGGATGGCTTCAAACAGCAGCAATCAAGCCATCTAACGCGCTGTAGGGGAGAGTAGACGAATGGATGGGTAGAGATGAATCGCGATACTGGAAAGGCTGAGGCCAAGTAATAGCAGGGAGGGGGCTTAGAGAGGTGGCACGCCAGTGCTGCGTGCATGGGGTGACAGCAGGAGGATGGAAATGATGGCCCCATTTAATAGGTGGTGGTGGGGTGGTGGTTTGGGGCGGGGGGGGGGGGAGGCACGGCCATCCAAACTGACAGATGCCAGCCGGCGCCTGCCCTGTGCAGAGGCAATAGCAGCAGGGGCAGCCGCACGTGCACGCCAAACGGGGCCAAGCGCAGCAACTGGCTGGCGTGCGGGGGTGCAGCAGAAGGCAGGTGGAAAGGATCTAGGTGCCGATCTAGCAGAAGTGCATGAGGACTTCCACAAAAGCCACCACCACAATGGTCAGCACCACAGCAGGGGCGGCCATGGCGGCAGCATTGGTGGCAGGCGCCGCCTCGGCGGCCGCCGGCTGGCTGTCGGTGCCAGCAGTGGCATCGGTGTCAGCGGGCTCCAGGGCCGAGGCCTGGCCGCACTCGGCATAGGCGCAGGCGTCGTTGGCGTTGCTCTCCAGGATGGCGGGGGCCTGGCCCGCGCTGCACAGCCTGCAGGGAGCAGCATGGCAGGGCGGCTTGTCAGCGAGGGGTGTGCTTTCCAGCTAGCCCGCCTGCCAGAACAGTCAGATTGCCGTGCGCAGGTGGACTACTCGCCAGCTCACTTGACAAAGGGGCAGATGGTGGCGGGCTGGGCTGAGCAGGCAGACTTGGCGGAGCAGTCCTCGGAGCCCACCACCGCCGGCGTCTCGGTGGCCAGGTTGCGAATCCAGGTGAAGCCCTGATCCTGCGCAGTTGGTGGGGCACGCAGCAGGGACCAGCTTGGTTGTACACAGTACGAAGCGAAGCGAAGCTTCCGTAGCATGCGTGGCAGCTGCATGCTGCAGAACGTCCGAACGACGGCGCATGGCAGCGCGCCCTGGCAGCGCGGAGCTCGCCGGAAAGCCGCTCGCCATCTGGAGGCAGCTCTGCAGTTGCTCGCAGGCTGGCTGGGAGCACCTGTGCGGCTGGGGACAGACTTCACGGCGCCTCTCACCTTGTCGGCCAGCTGCGGCTGCACCGCGCGCACCAGGTCCTTGAGCACCTGCCCGGGGCGCGCAATGGCGCCCTCAAACCAGTCCATGCCGTAGGCGCCGCCGGCCTCGTCGTAGCTCAGCAGGCCGTCCTCGCGGAACACCTGGCGTGGGGAACAGGGGAGGGAGCTAAGAGGGAGGAGGAGAGAATGGGTGGGTCGCGAAGTACAGGACTTCACCCAATCTTGGGAAGATGGGGGAACGTGCTGCTGGCTGCCAGGCACCCTGCAAGCAGCGCCCGTGCAGCCCGGCCCCTGCCATGACTCTCAACAGCACACACGGGCCTCACACACCCGCCTCTGATACCACAGCCTACCACCAGCGCACCTTCTTGGCGGCGATGGCGGGCACAGTGGCAGCCTCCTGGGTGGTCAGGCCCCAGACCTTGAGCAGGGCATCGGGTGTGTAGGCAGTGGGGTCTGCTGCATACGTCTCATCGATGATCACATCCGCCTGGCATGGGGAAGGGAGGTGTGTGTGTGTGTGTGAAAGTGAATGAGGAAGGGGTGGAACATCCAGGTCGATTTGGGTGATCCACCCAGCCCAGCAACAGGCTAGAACACCAGCCCACGCCCAGATGGCTGCCCACCTGCCCCAAGGCCTGCAGGAAGGCGGCCTTGGCCTCCTCCTTGGTGGCAAAGGCGCCCTCAGCGCCCCAGGAGAAGGAGATGGTGGGGGAGTCGGGAGAGGACTGCATGGGTGGGTGCC